CACGACGTGTTCATGTTGCAGATTTCTTGTTGGGAAGAGGGGGTTATTTTTGTTTTCTTTTGTCCTAACCGATAAGTAAAGAGTGACATATCCATCCTGCCGGCATCATTTTCAGCTGAATGCGAAATCTGTCGCGAGGAACTAATAACGTTTTTCACATCGATAAAGGAAATGTGTTGATTTAAGTTGAGATGTATGATTTCTGTAAGCGGATGTCCGACAGCCTCAAATTCTCTGTTGCTATATTTTTAATGGCTGAAGATAGGTAGCTGACTACAGTAACTATTTAGGAAGAAGAAATCCCCATTCCTAATTCCAAATACTAAAAGTTATGTTGTATCTGATCCGCGACTTTTAAACCTTAAAACTTTAAACCTTACGTTTAAAGCTCATTGCTGAATTTCCATTAGTAATAAGAAAGCAGGATTTCTTTTTCAGAAATACTTTCTTTTTTGCAGTTTTCATCCAAAAAATATAATGTAACACTAATTTCTGTCTAATTGGTGTGTTGCATCTCATCCTTTTCTCCTAAAATGACATGAATACACAGCTAATTAGAGAGCTAAAAGGTGCAAAAACCCTGGTATGGTCCTTTAAATTGTAGTGGAAAAATCACTTAGTCATGTTTTTGTTTGGAACTTTTTCTAAATTATGTATCTGCTGAATAACTTTTATAACCAGTGGGCCCTTAAAACCTCATTACAGAACTTCAAAATGACTCATTGGCATTGATGAAAAAGAAAGAATTTAGTTCTTTTAGTGGCCTCAAGGTTTCTATCCAAAATGAACATCAGACTAATTAGATCTACTTGGTTTTGGGGCTTTACATTCTTTGATGAATGACATAACTCCTGTTTCATCACTTTTTTGTCTCTCCTCTTTCATCGCTGGAGAAAGTTAGATTTATGATTAACACAAATGCAAAGACGCTTGACTTCTTTCACCACAACTACCGTTTAAATAAATCCCAAACATGAACTCATGCGTACGTCTCCATGTTAAGTCTGTTTTGTGTTGAGGTTTCTCTCGGTTATTGACATTTCCGGGGGTTTGGAAGTTCACTGTTGCATTCCTCCAGAGGTCTATTGTGGATAGCGAGATCCTTTAATGCTCTCTGGAGGATCTTTTGTCTTTCAGTTAACCCCCCGCCCTCCCCGCCGCTGCACCGGCTTCCACAACACACCTCGCTCACACAAGGCCCAAATGTGTTCTCCAGATGCACGTTGGTGAGCTCTTCCTGGTGGCGTCAAAGAGATCCTGAAGACAAACGGCAGGGTGTCTATAAATACCTGAACTCAAGAGGGGAAGGAAGCCTTTCCTGGGCTTGCATCATGGTATTCAATAACAAGTCAATTTACCACAACTTGTTAAGATGCACCTACAGGCCATTTTTGAGCCACATTCATACAAATGAAGCTCGAACGAATCACTCTCGTTTTAGCGTTTTTAAAGTTTAAGATGGAATCCAGTTGCTTCAAACATGCAGATTTTTACTTCACTTTGTTTCAGTCAGTTGAATAATTACTTAAAAAATACTTTCAACTCCCTTTTAAATGACCTTTTCTCATTGCAAGTATGGATTGATTTGTAATTTTCCCATTAAAAGAAGTTACTTTTAAAGCTCATTTTACTATTGCACAAGTTTCTACTTTGGTAATTTTATTGCTGCCTAAGTTTATAAGCTGCATAAGTCTATCTGCCTGTCAATCATTATTTGTGTGTGGTTTACAGAAATGGAAGCTTTCCATTTCATTGCAAATACTGAGCATGCTGATGAAATGAGTCACTACAGAGCAAAATATGATTACAGATTCATCATAAAGCTAGATAATGAGCTCACTGTCTGCCGCCATCCAAATTGCCACCGGGTAACATCACCCCGACAAAATTATGAATAGTAACCTGAAAATACTATCAATAAAATATAAATGCAGTTAAATGAATAATAGAGGTGTTTGCAGTGGAGGAGACCGGCATGCAAGAATTAACTAAGTCATAATTTTCTTCTCAAGTAAGATGAATGGAAAGCCGTAGGGCAAACCATGCTGTGCGGAGCTGGCCACGCACCACACTTAATCAAATAAAATGGAAAATTCTTTTCACAAAAACAACCAGTCATAACTCAAAAGGCTCACAGAGTCGGGGGGCGAGCAACAGAACTGGTTCTCAGGCTATAAATCACTGTGGCAGGGGGATGGTCTGCCGTTTCTTCAGGAGGGACTGCCAACAAAGCTTTACTTGAACAACACAGAGAAATCTGTCCGCACACGCCAAACTGGACCCGGCACCTTCTAGCCTCGGGCGCGAGGAGCCACCATGTGACCCGGGAAGACGCTGGTGCAAATCTCATGACTGGGGTTGCCTAGCGAGGAGGGTCATCACCTCCTTCAGTTATCTACAGTCAGTGTGTCCTTGCGGGAATCACTGGAGCACTATAGGACAGTGTTGCTGAAAAGGCACATCCACACTCAGCAACTTCTACCAGGTGTTTTAGCTCTCCGTTTCTTATATGATCAGGAGAAATGAGAAAGTCATTTTTGTGGCTACTTTATTCAAAAGTGTAAAAAAAAAAAGTCCAAAGATATTTGTAGGTTTTCATTTCAGGCATCAAAACAAGAAAATCAAGAAAAGTTGAGCGTTTCTGGACTGTATCCGCATAGAAGAGCGTTTGTTTCAGCGTTTAGTAGGGACACAAGGGCGGCTGTAAACTGCCTCAAGGGTATTAAACATGGCTACATTACCAAGTGGGAAAAGCATGCAACTGCCCCATGACCCCAAGGACCAATGGGGACCCCAAAAGCTCCAGCTTAACACTGTATGTTGGTTGGTTTATGATCCTTTGATCGATTGCTAATTGTTTCTGGGAGTATGCACCCCTAAAGTACAATAGCCCTTAATATGACACTTGTGATAGGTCCTGCATTATCTGGGGCGGTTTTGTTGTAGAGAGGTCAAAACATAGAAGTGTAAAAGTCAAGTTTTAAGACATTTATAATATCAGTTGATGTTGTATTTTAAAGGTGTGAGCAGGTAGTATTTCCGACAAAATATAATTAAATGGCCACATCAGCAGAGAGTGGGAAGGAATAAGGGTTCTCACAGGTTAAACTGTTAAAAAGAAGGACTTATTGAACCATGTATGTACAAATAAATACAAGCAAAAGCTTTAGATTCCTTTTTTCTAATTTAAAATAAAGAAAATTGTACTGTTTACGTCGAGTTACCTCCTACCTGAGCTTGGACAACACCATTAATATGATATCATTGTAATAAGACAATGCAAACAAATAGGTCTGCATCAACATGAAGAGAGCAGACATTGCTGTCCAATGGCTCATTGTATGCAGGGCAGGTCCACCTTCAGAGTGGTGCAAATTCGAGCTGTGGGTCCCTGTTGACGCCCCCAGTTCCACCCACTGTCTGTGCATTGTGTTTCCATCCTGTTGTGTTTCGGTATAGGTACACTGCAGATCACACGTACTGTCGCTACAGTTTGCCCAGAGACCCAGAAAACCAACCGGTACTCCTCTGCTGTACTCTGTCTACTATACAGCTCATAAAATTACCACAAACTAGCCCAGGGGTAGTTGCCTGCATTGCCTGGTTGGTAGTCCGGCCTTGTGTGATTGCATATTGTAGATGTAGCATGAAGGCCATTGCAGGAGCTCCCTCCTTTTAGACAATCATTTGTACCACGATGTAAATGATGGAACATTATATTACAAGGGCATCATTGGTAAATTAAATCAATGTTTGTAGAATGAACACTAAATATTTGAAGTGCATGGAACAACCTTCTGGTAAAATCAGGCTCTCTCCACATATGAACCCATTATCTTCTATTAAAACACTGTCCTTCATATCATTACATCCCAGAGGACTCAGCTGTGGCCCAGTAGCTAAAAGAAGTCCCCAGACAGACAATAGAGTGCCGCTACTACTAATTCGGCGCTGAGGTCGTCTTCCTGTCTACTTCCTGTTCTAACCCCCAAAGGAAGGAAGTGATGGTCTGCTCTTACTCCGAAGGGCATTGTGAGTCTTCCTCTATGAGTTCCTGTCCGAGACAATGGGACAGTCCTGGATTCCAACCGCACCTTATAGGTCTATCTGAGGCGGGGGATCTCACCTTGAATTAGTTTTCTTTGGTCCAAACCCATATTAGGAAAAGCACATGCTGGTTGTTTACAAAGCCCGATCATACGTGACTCAGGACTCACAAGCACCTGAAGTTTCGGTGACCGGTCGTCCTGTCAGCTCTGATAATTCGGCGCCAAGAGGAAACTAAACAAGTCCGATTCTAGTTCCTGTAATTTTATAATTGTGATGGGCTGAAACTCTTACTCATGGGGTGTTCAAAAGGACAGGAAAAAACAGGTAAAAATGAGCTTTAGTCAGACCGTTGTTTGTTCATGTTTGCCAAAGATTTTTGACTTATCCTGAAGACCATGTTTCCTAAAAAATGTCTAATATAAATCCTGAATGCTGTCTATAGACATGTATACTGTGCATGCAAGCACCGTATGTGCATGTCAGAAGCCAATTATTGTATATTTCACAATTTATATGGTCATAAAACTTAAGATAAATGGTAGAAACTCACATTTTCAGGCTTCTCAGTGCAGTTTAAAGACATTAAACAGTGTGCTGCTCTAATTGCACATTCAGTGATTCTAGGCTGCGACGTCAGATTTCACAATGAAGCTAAGAAATGTCAACTGTGCTGGAGTGGCAGATTTCAATAAATAATGCATGATGGCTTATTTCTTTTTCCTTCTGTGTGCCTATAACGCGCAGAGAAGTGGTACAAATGAGTGAACAATATTCAGACCAGATGTGAGCAAGATCTCAGCGGTACAGTCAAGTTCACGTTGAGGAACACCGTTGAGTGAACGAACATACATCATTTTGAGATCAGGCTCTAAAATGAGGAACAGAGTGACATAATTTCAGTTTTCTCTAACCCAGTTTATCCTCCACTAACGTGACCAAACATCACCGACCTGTATCCACTCCCTGACGGTGTCGTCTGAGGGCGTCCAGCCGTTCTCCTGGTAGTTGAGACGCGAGCGTTCGGGCGACCAGTTGCTGTTGTACTGGGAGGAGGCGGTGATCTGATCTGAGGAAATTTCCCCCGACTCCATGCCCAGTGCCTCCATACACGCGAAGCCTGACAAAAGACAGAAAAACTCCATTAACAAAGAGTTCAACAGCAAAATAAGAGCTAAAAGGTTTTGCAGACCTAGAAAAACATTACTTTTAATGTTTCTTTTTTGTATTTATCTTAGACAGCTATAGAAAATATCATGACTATTGTGCTATAACTAAAATGGTAGTCTGTCTGTGTCTTGAAATACCATTGGACGTGAAGTTTTAACTCCTCAACAGATGGTTTTATAAAGTTACAAACTCAAGAACTGGGTTTTTAAAAGAGATACCTCAAGTTTAGTTAGTCATAAATGTGTTTTTCTCAGGCAGAGAAACAAGTGAGCATTGTGATTAGAGACAGACATTGTAAAGTGTCTGTCCCTGCTCCCTGCTGGGCGGTAAGTCACAGTAGTAAAGGAGTCATTTCAAACAGCTCCCGTGGTGGCATTTTAGAGGCTTTTCGGTGACACTCGCTTTTATACAGTATCCATACATACACACACATATTGTGTGGACATTTGCATCTGAAACCAACAGAAAACGGTGAATTTGTCCCCAAAGTTGAACTGAAAATTCACAAATAACATGCTGTTGACTAGTATGATAATATATGTAATAATAATAATATGGATGTAAAACACCCTCAAAAACTCACAGCTACCTGATGGCTTTTCTCAAACCTCAACTCTATCCTGACACTGCAAGTAATTATCTTCATGATCAATTAAATCTATCAATATATTTCCATTTAAAGCAGGAATTATTGTCAAAAAATTGGTTGACATCTTATTTTTGCTTGTTTTTTTTTGACAAACAGTCCAAAAACCTGATGATAAATCAATTAATGATATAAAAATGTTGCTCATCTCCACATTGGAAAGCTAGAAACACAGAATATTTTACATTTTTGCTTGATAAATGAGTTTAAAAGATTACCCGATAATCAAAACCGTTGTTAATTAATTTCCTATCGACTGAATAACTATTTGATGTTTTTATTCTGTACTCAAACACAAACATATAAACCCCCACACAGGCTCACAATGCTGCAGATGCATGCAGATTCAGCTATAATTTAGCAGGTTTTCACGTTTTCACTCTAGCTAAAGGATAATGCACTCCTCCGCGGATTGAGAAACTCCTCTGGGCTCACGAAACCGTTTCAAAACAGCATCTCAAACTCCATGTCCGTATCAGTGTCCACTCTGTAACAGCAGGGGAGCCCGGGGAAGGAAGAGGGAGGTGGAACAAAAGGAAACGTGTGTGTTTGTGTGTGTGTGTGTGTGTGTGTGTGTGTGTGTGTGTGTGTGTGGGAGGGCTGTCTGGAGACACAAGGTCTGCCAGACTGACACAAACACACTTACATCATTCCAAGTTCCACAAATAAATTAGGGAGAAAGTTGCAGAAAGCTTGTTTTTTTTGGGGGGCTCATCATCAATATTTGTTAACTTGACAATTTTCAGGCCCAAATCTTCCAATTCAGTTTTTTTCCCAGAAGAGTACTCTTGCCAGAAACTGCTCTGAAACTGCTGCTAAACAATAGATTAAAAAAAAAGAAAAGAAAGTAAAACACCACTGGATGTCATCCAGCTGATACATCACTTTATATCTCTACATTTTCTCACTTTTCTGTTTTTCCATCTGGCTTTTCCAAACTCTTTTTCTCATTTCTATTCATGACACAACCTCCACGTCTCCCTCACAGCAGGCATGTGGGACAAACTTCAACCCCGTCCCTCTACCTCTCCCTCCAAAAAGGAAGACAGGACGTAAGCTGATGCCCCCACTGATCATTGGAGCTGATCAAAGGCCCGGCTGGAGGTCGTGTGATGACGGTGATGGCCGGCACAGAGCGAGAGAAAACTGTAAATTCACGGCTGGATATCAGAGTTTGATTCCTCCCAGGCTTGAATGGAAGTTCTTTCTGAAAAGGTTGTTTATAGCAGTGGTTTTCTGCCCCCCCCCATCCAGGCCTGTCATGTGAACTCAAATAGCCCTTAATCAACAACACCCATCATGTTCCAGATGTGGTAATCTGAATGGACTTTAGCTTTTAAACACTATTATAAAGCATTACTGTGTTCATAAAACTAATGTTTATGTCTGTTTGGGACCAAATCTGGACAATTTAACCATTTAACCATGACTTTTAGCTCACTATTTCAACAGTTTAGTACTTCTAACAACATTTACCAAGCTGTTTCAATAATGTATTAATCACTTTTAACAAATTCAACTGTTTAGCATTAATTTAGCTAAGTTAGCTATCCGTTTCAACCATTCATCCATGACTTTTAGCTAACTATTTCAACTATTAAACTATCTGAACAGTGTATTTATACTTTTAACTATATTTCAGGCTTTAATTAATCACTTTTAGCTAACTGTTTTGACTTCTCTGCTGGCTTACTAACAATTCACACATTCTCAACCCCAACAAGTGGTGTTCAAATGTTACAGCTGACTCAATATGTCGATATATTTTTTTCCAAATTTGTCGAGCTAAAAATTTTCCACGTACCACCTGGTAACTGCTGAGGTACCCCACAGGGGCACAAGGACCCCTTGCTGGGTATTACTGGTTTATAGCCATCAGGGTGGTTGTAAAATTTGGAGGAAAGACAATGTGATTTGGTTTGGCAAGAGGCTTTAATTCAATCTGCTGAGCTTAGCTGGGGGGTCTGCAGGCAAAGTAATTGTGTGTGTGTGTGTGTGTGTGTGTGTGTGTGTGTGTGTGTGTGTGTGTGTGTGTGTGTGTGTGTGTGTTATTTAAGCTAATATAATTAGAGCTTTGTCTAACACCAGTGCTGCTCTCAGCCATCCCAGTTAAGACTAGTGGGACAGATTTATCTTTCACACACACATACATACAGTGCAGCCATATTTGATACATGTAGACTACATCCATATATTATCACCTTGTCATAAACATTCATCCTCAACATCAGATAACCCCCCCCACACACACACACCCACACCCACATGTTCTGCCCGTGGCAAAAACAAAGAAGAGAACTGAGAAACAGAGAAGATAATTACTTTGACCCCTCCGGTGAAATGTCTACATACATGTGTGATTCAGAAATATTATTCCAGTACAGTGGATGATGTGACATTGAATACAGCATACAAATAACCTTGAATATTTCAAACTAAAGGTTAAAATAAAGCTTTACAATATGTTGCTCCAGACCTGGAACAGTGTACTGTGTCAGTGTTTTATTTGGATGGACTTTAAAACTTTAAAAGCAAATATCTTCATCTTAACTGGATATTTACCTCAATTTGTAAGCCAGCGCGGACCAGAAGTCCTTTAAAGTGCTCAGAAAATGACATTTGAACGTATAAAATTTTATGACAACAGACTCCATCTGCTAATAAAGATAATTTAATATTATTGAAAGCTCCTAAACATCTACTGAATTCAATTTGTCATTAACTGGATATTGTTTATGCCTATTTTCTATAATGTTTGACAGTACTTAAATTGAGGAAAATAAATAATTGAACAGCTTCACTGACCACCGTGTGCAGTCGGGGGGGGGCATGTAAATCCTTTAGATGACGGATAATCCTGAGACAAAAAAACAGTGTATTGATTTTAAGTCTTTAAATATCTATTTAGAGCAGTAAAAAGTAGATTTTGTACATTAATTTCTCCCAAAGTGCCCATTTAACCACAGTGGGACCTTACGTAAACTCACCTCTGTACACACACTCACATTCCTAAACAGGGGGTGATGGGGTCGAGGTTACAAGAGTGCAAGAACCATACGGCCAACATAACTTAAATCTCTACAGACATTCCAACGAGATCCTACAGCCATACTGATGCTTTCTTTTAAAGAACATATGGACACGAACAAACGCAACACATGAAACGTAACTGGATCTATAACAAAGCGAGAGAAACTCTCCTGATAATATCCTGCTGTGTGAAACTGGCCTAATGTTCAACAGGCGCAGATAAGAGTTAAAAGTAGGTCAAACCGACGAAGATATAAGCTGTTTTTTTTTTTTTATCAGAACCAAATTCAAAGTTACAGCTAAGATAAGATTAAATCTATATGTGCTGTGTAGTCAAATTCAGATTTTGATTCTGATTATTTAAAGTTCAAGCAGATATGAATCAGACAGTAGCTGCTGTTGGTTTTATCCTGCAGACAACACCAGATAGGCGGAGTTACTCGTATCAGGATCGTGTCATGAAGGTATCAATTACAGTATAAGATATAAGATTGACAAGGTGGATTAACATACTTTTTCTATATTCAGGCTGTATTTTGTTGCAGTTGTACTGTAGCAAACTCACAGCCCCAGTCACCCAGCAGATAAAACACAGTCAGAGCAGTCGTGTCCAGATAAGATTTAAGATAAATCTGAGTGGTTGTGAGACGATTAACAAGTAAAGAAAGAAGAAGAAAAACTATTTACACAAACTCTTTTCTAACTTTTCTTAAATCTTTTCTTTTTTGTCAAAGACATGAAAGTTTTATTTCTTCAAGAGATTTTTTTTAATTAAATAAGGTAAATTGGCTATAAATTTGTCACAAGCCAAAATAAGTTGGGAAACATTGGTTTTCAGTCCATGTGTTCAAGTTCAAACACATCAAATAGGCTCTAAAAAAGTGAAATTCAATAGGTTATTAGTAGCAACAATTATCTTATTGCCAGAAAAGCAAGAAATGTCAAATCAGGTTCAGCTTCTACTAGTTTTCTCTGTTTTATATGATTGTAAATGTAACATCTGTGGGTTTTGGACTGTTGTTTATGAAAAAACAAGCAATCTGCAGATGTTAGCCTTAGGGTCTGGGAAATTATGATGCCCCATTTTTGTTATTTATTGCCATTTAAAAACTAATACTACATTGTGTTCAGTCAGTAACGGGGTTTCTTTCTGCAGTAAACAGAGAATATATTTTCTGATATCCTGTTCCCACTTCATCCAATCAGGAGAGAGAAGTCTGTGCGTTTAAGGCCAGGCCTGGGAAACAGAGTCACCAATCAACTATATTTCTCCAGAATCGTTTACGGCGCCTTTAATTGATGGAAATAATCATAAATTGACTGATTCCTCCTTAAATTACAACTGAGCACACAGCTGATGCGTGAGGTAATCATATGGGGTGATAATGAAGTGAAAAAGCCACATATTTTTCATTGCTGCACGCTATTATTCCCTGAAGGAGAAATTCTCTTTCTGCTCGAATTCCTTCCTACATGGAGGCCAGAGGTCAAAGATCACACGCAGACGAGCTCCTATAGAGCCGAAATAGATTCAGAGTTTTGCTAAAGGACACTTAAGTTGAAGCTGAACTGATGTACAAACCGTTTATTCACTCATTTTTATGTTTACTGTGAGGGGTTAGTATTTTTTCATACTGTACAAAACAGAAACATCCAGGAAATGAACTCATGGTGCTTCCTAAAGCCAGATGACATGTCCACCCTCCTCCCCCCTCATCCCATCCATTTCTCATCACTTCTCCAGCTGCTCACCCTCATCCTCGTGGCCCGGGGGGAGGCTCCTCTCGCGGATGGTGTAGTTGGCGGAGAATCCCTCTCTGGCGATGGCGTTGTCGGTGGTGATGGTCATGGACAGGATGCCGGTGTAGGAAATCACACGGCCCGGGGACGTCTGGCCACAATACCGGCCAATGTGAGGACCCACTGTGGGAGGATGCAGAGGAGGGGTAAGAGGGAGGTAGGAAAGGAGGGGAGAGACAAAGTGGAGTGAGAGATAGAGCAGGGAGGAGGGGGGGAAGAAGAAAAAGGAGGACGTCAGCTTCATCACTCATCAACTGCAGAGTGCTTTTATTATTCACTTTGTCCTTTTCTACCCTCACTGTCCCGGGAAATGTATCGGGACTTTGGGCAAAAAAACCCAACAATAATCCGTTAAATCCACACAGAACTCAAGTCTAAAAATGTCCAATTTAGATCAAAAAGCCTTCCCAGAAAACAAAAGTTTGTTTAATCTTCTGTGTTCAGAGTCTTCAGACAAATACAAAGAGCAGCTGATCTCCTGTCAGCACCAATCTCTCACCCCTAATGAGTGAAGTTCCACCTTTGAGACAGGAATAAAGGTGAGACAGCAGGTGACAGAAACACTCATTTCCACGACATATTGCACTGACAGATATTATCCCAACACTATATATATATAAACTGTGTATCTAAGTCATATCAGGTAAAGAACAACCCTTTTATCTCAAGACGCTGCCTGCAGAGTATTGTGTTAAATATGAGTGTTTTGTCTTCTCTCACATTCACAACTTTGAGTCCAGGTTGTTAAAATAAGATGTATTAATAAGCTTCCTAATGTAATATAATGACAGACATCCAATTACAACAATGGTATTATATTATTGTTTGGAAAGATTAGTTCTCATCACATGCAGTGTTATGAGAAGTACTGCAGATGAGGCCTGAAAAAGGTGTTTTTATGCCTCTAAAAGGACCCCTAATGGGCAGGAAATGTGGTTATTCAAATGTAACTTATCAAACTGGAAGAATGACCCATTTTATTCCTTATTATAATTAACATTAAGTCGGGAGTTTCAGACTCTGAGAACACTCAAGGCTAAAGAAACAAGACAGCCAGACCTTCGAACATTTGCTCCCAGTTTTTGCCTCTCACGTATCATCGTTACATTCGAGTCCCAGAACTACCCAAAGGTAGTTTACAAAATTTACAGCAGTTTTGCCTCAAACTATTCTCAGCCCATCTAGATGAACAAATAAGGTAATACTTTTGTTTTGTAAGGGTCCGTAATTTCCTAAAAGGACAATGTAATGGATCCTTTTTCACAGCATCCATTCCGACATGAAGGTTCAGGTTAATGTCAGGATGCTGCTATTGTGTATGTTGGCAACCAAATTATAGGAAACATATGTAGTGTGTGTATATATATTAAAGAAAATCTAAATTTTAACCAATTTATAATGAATTTATAATAAGAAACTGTATTTTCCATTTGTCTGCTGTGGACAAAAGCATTTTTTAAATGTGTGCCTACCAGTAACTGGAATGAGTTGGAAGTGTACCAATTAAATTAGCTGTCTCTGTTTTCCCTACAGTACCAAATTATGTGGTTCTCTTCAGAAGAATTCTTGGAAATTACGGATCAGTAAAAATAAAGTGTTACCAAAAATAATCCATCAGCTGCATAATAAAACATTTTAACTCGTTTCCAGATTTGTTACTGTTTATCAGCCCTAAAAGGATCCTGAAGCACCAATAATAATAGATTTTATTCATGCCACGCAAATGAAGCTTAAGTTGAGCTTTGTTGCTTAAAAATCGTAGTAAATTACTGAGTGGACAGATGATTCTCAGACCAAGACGGACAGACAACTCTTTGAGGATTCTGAAAACATCTTCCAATCTTGTCCACTGACCGTCTGCGCTGTTTTTTAGAAGACTGCTGGAGATTTATCTTTCAGGAAAAAGACATTCTGAGCTCCAAATGTAAAATGAGAGGCACAAACTGGGGCTAACATCTTCCCTTACATGCAGCACACAGCGACAGACTGTCTCATGTCTTTAACACTGTGAGTGCTGACGTCGCTGGCTGCCCACAGTTTGCTGGCCATTTCATCCTGTTCTTATCTGTGGGAAACAATGCCAGGTTTGTGGAGCCTCCTGTTTCGTAGAGATACTGTATCTGCAGCCTCTTGAGGACCCGAGGGGGTGAACGTTCAGGCCAGAATGAAGTCATAAATGTTACAGAAATTATACTTTTCCTTCAGCTCGGAGGCAAAATAACCCCCCCACAAAAAATAACACAAGGCAATCGCATTGGAATGCTGAGCTTTGTTAATCTGGTGGATTATGTTTATCAGTTACAGTTTAAAGCAGGTAGTCGATAATCTGTGACGGATTACAGGTTGAATTATTGCAGCCTTATCGGAGGCAGTGTGAAATGGTGAGGCTGTCTCTGCTGTCGATGCAATCAGCTATAAAATGGGAAAAATCCTTCAAGCAAAATGGCTGCATTTACATTTATTTAAGAAACGGTCATATCTGAGGTAAACAGCAAGCAGAAGAAGATTCAATTCCAGCATTTCAACATCATAAACAAACAGTAGCTTTCTGCAAGTTCTTTCTCAACCTTGAAAACAGCTTTTTGACAAAAAAAAAAAAAAAAATCTTATTACTAGGTCCACTGACTTGGTGTTTCCAGAGCTTTAAGCCCCATCTCATAACCTTCACCATAAGCAAACTCTATCTGTTCTTTTTACAGCATAAAAAAACAAATACATGTACCTCGTGATAAGAATGCCCTGAAAGATGTTCTGAAGGAGTAAAAAATCTCCATTTAGGACATTTGTAAGGCTCATTGTTTTCTGTAAAAAATAAATAAAACGATGCCATAAAATTATTAGATTATTTTCTAAAGAATAAATACAAACATAATGAGCCCTACATGCTTGTTTGTCTGATTAAATCCCACCAGTATCATTTCCTTTGGAAGAAAAGCTCTCAAACACAAAAACAAAAAAACCCAACAGTGCATGATGGGAATGTTTGGAGTTCGTGTTAACACTGCGAATGCGTTTGATGGGATGAAAAACTACATCCTGGTCTTCACCCTGCTGCAGAGATGCTTTGTTATCTGCACTGACACACATGTTCACTCAGCAAACACAGGAATACAGAGCTGTACAGCATCAAACACACACACCTGAATGCACACACACACACACACACACACACACACAGATCATTTGACAGGAAAAGCCCTGGCGTGTTATGTATGCTGGCACAGCTTTAAAGTGTATGTCACTGTCTGTATACCTGTGCCAGTCTTTGTGTCCCTCGTGCTCCCATGCCAGTCTCCTCCCTGGCAATAATCAGGCAAAGCTTTGGGCACAGCAGCGAGTATTGTGGGCATCCTGGCAGCGTGCTCAGGCCTGTCCAAGGTATGTAGCTCTCACCATTATCTGCACACTGTACGGCTAATTAGACAACAATGGAAGCCGAGAAACGCTGTCCAAACGAGGGGACGGAGTGTGAACAGAGGGTAGAGCAGGATGCGTCTCCGTCATTCATGTTCATGAGAGCTGATTCTCCGAACGTGGCTGGTGAGGGAACAATGAGCAAGCTGTGAAGGAGGCTCTTTCAGTACATCCAGCCTCTGTGTGTACTGCTGAGAAATGAATGACTACTAGCTACTGTAAGCTTCTGCATGTTAAAGGAATAGTTTGACATTTTAGGGACTCTAGCGAGCTTTAAAGGCGCTAATAGGTGATTTTTTTTAACCTTTGGAGAGAGCCTGGATAACTGTTTCCCTCTAAGCTAACTGGTTGCTGGCTTCATGTTTATCGGCCGGAAAAGGTGGTATTGATCTTATCATCTAAGTCTTCGCAAGACAGCAAGTAAACATAATTCCCAAAAAGTGTAACCAGTGAGCGCTGAGATCTTGGAAGGTCAATATGTGCGTTTTTTCTGGGGGAGCTCAAGGTGAAAACTGTTAATAATAAATAATCTTCTGGGAGACAGTGTGGATCGCCTGCTAAACTTCAACAAGTAACCAATGAGTAGCAAGAGACTGTCTTTAGTATTTGATGCATTTTAGTTTGGGCTTCAAGTTTAAGAGATTTAAAGGTTTTATTTGGCAGAATTAGAGAAAATCTGCATGTTTTGTAAGACAGGCTTCATTTTATTCCTGTCTCAAGTGGACATGTTGATTACCTTGAGAGTTTTGGAATATAATATTCATAGGTATGTTTTCATTAGTGTAAAATCACCTGAAAATAACAATTGTGTTTTTATCTACACAGAAAGTCCACCATGTTGAATCACCATGTTTTTACCATAACCCACAACGGACAAACCAAATACTGGGGCCGTTGTTTTGCTACCACTATAGTTTCTCCTACAGGCTTGTACGGCGAGCAATATTCATTGGTTCACTTCTAGCAGCTACTGAATCCTACACACTGGTCCTTTAAAGCCATTCCTGTATTTACAGAAACCTTTTAAACTATTTAGTTTTAAAGGTCTAAGAGAACCTATTTTTTCAAACTCTGAGATGTACAAATGTGACAGAAACATGTGCTGCCGAGAGGAAAATCCCCTATATCCCCTTTAAATTGACTTCCAGAGTCAGTGACGAACTCAACAAATCAGAGCTTAATGTGAACAGAGTGGGCCCCTTGTATATCCAGCCAATCAGGACAAAGAGATACAGTATTATCCTCCTGTGCCAAATTCCTTAAACAGCCTGTAAATCCTTTTGTAAATGAGAAAATGTGCCAATAAAAACAAGAATTACGAAGACGCCAGGCTCTTAAGTGAAGTGATAAAATGTCCTCGAAAGAACAAACTGCAACCTGTTTACGGATTTATCCCGCTGTTGCTGAAATATGCAGAAAAAGTTGTCTCCCAAATATAAAACAAGTGAAAACACACCTCCCTCCCCTCTCTCCCGACTCCCCTCCTTCAGCCCACATCTTCCTCGTGTCTTTATCAATCTATTTTTCGCCTCTGCTTTCTCCTTTTCCCTCCATCGCTCAATCTGAACCGGTTCCACCTGCAGGGAAGCCATCCATCCTTTGTTCTCCTCCCTCCTCCTCCCCTTCACCTCCACATGTCTCTGTCTGCATCTCTGTCTGTTTTCTGTCAACATCTGCAGGGGGAAGCCGTCCCCAGCCCTTCTCATCCTTCTCTCTGCTGCTTCACAGCTCCGCATATTTATCCTCTGCATCTGCATCCCATTTTCCCCGTTCTTACCCTCCACCTGTGGCGAAGCAATTCAAGGATTCTTTCACCTTCATCTTTTTTTCTGTCTGACATTCAGCCCCTTTTTTTTTATCTCACTGCTCTATCTTGGCAGTGCATACATTTTATAGCTTATTAAGTATTTCTTCAGCTATAAGAATGTGTTTGAGACAGAAGCTGAACACCCCTTTTGCACTTTCTTATAGAATGTTTTCACCTGTTTTTTTGTGTTGTTTTGCCTCCGCCATACGCATCTGTTTCTTAGACAGGGTCTTGAGCAAAAAAAAGGCATTGAAAGTGCAAAAAAATTCACAAGAAATTTAAATTTTGCAGCCTAAAAGTATGTTTTTGTGTTTTTTCCAGTGTAGCCAGTTGAGGAAATGGGTTTTCCATGATCATAATTTCCATTAACGCTTCACTAGAAATATTTCCTTTACCCAGCCTGAGCCAAAGCCTCTGCTCACCTGCGGGGAAGCCGTCCCAGATCTCCAGCCAGTCGTATCGGCAGAGGGCGCCCGGCGGCGGCGTGGTGTCGGGCTCCATGTCGAAGCTGTCAAACTCCACCACGATCTCAGTCATCTTGGGGGCAAATATCATGAAGGTGCAGTCCAGGTTGTTGGGGTACTTCTCGGGGAAGCCCGGCGTTTTGATGACGCCTCTGGGAGCCGTAAAGTTCCTGGAACATTCTGGACCTGCAAGGAGAGAAGATACTGATTAAAGTGTCAAGACTTGTTTGGACGGAGTGACTAATTCTCGCTTGGACAGAGCTGTGAACCCTCAGGGGTCGGGGGTCACAACGTGTTCACACATCACTTTAAATATCACTTGCGCTCTTTTACTGGTACAAAATGAGCCGTTCGTGGTACTTTGAAACAGAAAAAAAAAACATTTCCAGCAAACAAGTGCCAGTTAATACTGTTTACTAGTCTATATCTTCTATTTTTGACCTTTTTTGTTTTTCCTGCTGCAAAAATAAGCACAGACATTTTGGAAATGCAGTTTCTTCTGTTTTTGACCTTTCTGGTTGTCTAAAACTTTGGCAGCCGGAAACACTTTTACAGCTGTGACTTCACTGGAACAAAGATTTACTTTAACTGAGTCTTAAAACTAGATTTTCCTCCCAAACAATGGAGGGATTCAGCAAACAATCTCTCAGTGAGACAGAAAAAAATCCCTTTTTTATTAATGACAATATCACATGACAGTAACACGAAATAGAAAAAAACCCACCACCGGTTCCAGATAAAGTGACCAAATTAGCAGATTTGGAAAAAAGTTAAATGAGGCCGATTCAATCTTTAAGACGCAGTAACAGATTCAAACATAAGCTTTGTTTTATTGACAAAACTCATGTCATCTCCATCCAATCAGACCAACTGGCCCCCTCCCCTGCCGGAGCCGTCTGTGTCTGTGTTGTGACTGGGGGGTGGGGAGTTATTGACGGTCGCAGACACTGAGAGGCTGTTTACGGAGACTGATCATGGTCGACAAACAACAACAACAACAACCACACACAGATACACTCATAGACAGACAAATACACCCCCTATTAGCTCATTAGACACATCCAAATGCACACACACGCTACCCTACATAATCATTCAACCACGACCTCATAATTTGTATTCAGAGTCAAATATCAGCGCCGTTCTGTGTTCGTCGATTCGCCGTACACTAATGAGTTTGTGCTCCAATATCACCCATAAGACCTATTTCTTTCTCTATGGTATTTAAATGAGGCTCTCTTGCTTTGATTTGTTCTTGTAGCTCTTTGATTGGTGTTTTTTTCAGCTGCAACACTTATAATCTATCCTGTAAGAATCTATATAAAATCCTATATGAGCTTTACTTGTTTACTTACACAAAAGAAAATCCCCACAAATATTGTCTGCTGTTATTCGACGATGATGTTTCACTTCCCACACTTTCATTCATGCCTTTGCACGTAACACCTTCGAGTGATAAAATCGTCAGCTGTGTTGTGTTTACCTATCTCCCTTTTTTTATATTCATCATTTTTGTGCAGTCGCGTGATGCTGTTGTGCTGGATTATTAACAAGGCATCGTAAATTCCTGTAAAATCCTTTGTTGAGTGAGTAAAGACTTTAATTTTGATTTGATTGGTTTTGGGCTTTGTTTCTGCCAGCTTGGCTCTGGAGTTTTCCTCAGAAGGTACACATATTCTTTGCTCTTATTTTCAGAGCATTCGCGATATGACCTCTGTATTCTGTATGTGAACTAAGTTAATGTATTGAGCTTCATATTTTAGACCACAGATCCCCATTTAAGAGCTCATTTTTATTGGAAGTCTTCACGGTCAATCAAGCTAGGGTCACTATAAATTACAATCAAAACAAACAACATTGTTTGTTTCCTTGTTGTTCCAACTTCCCCAAAAAATGGCATCAAAAATAATATTTCCCCTTGCTGCAGTGGACGCCCTACAGCCCTCTCAGAGACCCCCGCTGGTTTAACGGACCACAGTTTGAAAAACCACTGTTTTAGAGCAACGTTTTTATTTATTTCCATGCAACTCAGGAGGAGAGTTTGTTGACGCATGTATGTGCCAATCCTGCCATGTAGCTTGTGATGATAAGAGAGTACTGCTGAGAAGATGTTGGACTTGGCTCATGATGTAACAGGTACAGGGAGCATTATGCAAGAGAGAGAGAGAGACCCTGTAAATGCTTCAACACACCTCATAATCAGAGTTGAGAAAATCTATGTAATGACGTCATACCAAATACTAAATTACTTGACATTCATGGTTTTTGCATTAATATGAATGGTAAGGATAATTTATAGCCTATTTAATAGTTATTTTACACAATTTAAAAAAAAAAATTGAATGGATAAAACATTAGAAAACAAGACTTCTTTCCTGCCATAAATACCAGTTTTCACATGTAAATTTCTGTGTCATTATAAGTTTAAATATTTTTATGTACTGGTTATGTCAGATTTTAGAGGGTGCTGCCCCCCCTATTCACAGTGCCCATGCTCATATAATTCCTCATAAACATCACATGCTCCTATAGACTGTTGGCTTATGACATAAAGCCTTCTGAAAAATTCACTACGCAGTAACAACAGGTGACATGAATGTCTCCTGATAAAAAATACAAACGGAACAGCGGCGAACGCGGCAGCTGTTATGTCATTGTTGTTTTTTTGTACACAAGCTGTTTCCTCCACAGTCACATCGACACTGTCGTTACCGCTCATGAAAAATCTCGGCGTCGGCTCGCATCAGTCAACCGGCGGCTGGCAGTTCACACCTTTCTTGTCATAAAGTGACACAGGGTTGCAAAGAAGGTGACTGATCTCTGTGGGAGGAAGACCGGACAAGGGTCAATCATCTCTGGGAGGCATTTGTGTGTGTGTGTGTGTGTGTGTGTGTGTGTGTGTGTGTGTGTGTGTGTGTGTGTGTGTGTGTTAGGGATTCTTATGTTGCCAGGTCAGATGTGACCTGCATGTTATCTGAGCATGCTCGTAAACCCGAATCCACACACACGGAGACACACACTCCAGTGGACCCCTTGCTGTTGACACAGGTGGTGTCATTAAAAGGGCGACATGATGAACGATGTGGAAGGGATGAGGCAAGCTTCGATCCTGCTCAGCTGGCACTCTTTCCACCTGTGTGTGTGTGTGTGTGTGTGTGTGTGTGTGTGTGTGTGTGTGTGTGTGTGTGTGTTGAGTAGATCTTTGCTTTGTGAGAAGTCTGTGCTGCTGCATATCTGTCAAGGTCAGAAATGAATGTGATTTCAGGGTAAAAATATCCTTGAAAGTTCATAAAATGCCTTGAATTTAAAAACTAATAACTATAAAAAATATTTTTTTTTTGTAGCTATCATGCATTAATGCAAGACTTGAACCACATGGGCCACTGTCGGCTCGGAGCCCATCGCCAGCTGATTCTATTCAGAGCGTTGTGGACGAGAGCAACAAAGCGCCTTTTGATCCAAAGACGAGCGAGTACACATCTAAGAAGTGGAATACATTTCTGACTTCCTACAAACCGCTGTATCAACAAAAGATGAAACAAACTAGAATCCATTCAGAGGCAGCATACCTTCAACCAGGCTTCGCTTCATTCAAACAAGCAAAAAAAAAAAAAGAAACAAAAAAGGTCAGAAATGTTATGAAATCCTGAATCCAAGCCTAAAACAGACAATCTGTTCTCTGGCCTGTGGCTGAACTGTCTTCCAAATTTCATTTTATCTGTAACAAGGCTGCCAATGAAGCCAAAAAGGTCACATTCTCTCAGTTAAAATGTCTTAAAAAGACCAAAGTGAGCCAAAAACCCAACACTGTTGCCATATGTAAGTGTTTACATATTTTTGATATTGTTTGTTGTTCAGAGGTTGCATACATTGTGTGTTCAAGCGTATCGTGTTATGTCACTAACACGAGCGCGTATACTTCCCTCAAACAGCACGGTACATTGCTCTCATCTCTCATTGGCTCATTCTCTGTCCATCCATCTTTCTTCCTTTTTTTCATCTTTTTATCAACGACCCTTCAATCAACCGTGGCTCACCCCCTCCCCCCCACACACACCGCCGTTGACTAAACCGCTGAGACATGTGTTTCTGGTTTGAAAACCTGCAATAAAACGAGAGAGTTGGGGCAAATATAGTTCCGGGACGCTGAGGAAGGCTCACTTGGCTATCATTTATAAATGATATGTATTCTGTGGTCAGCAGAGGGTGGAGTTATGGTTATGGTTATGAGAGGCGGATGTGCCGGAGCTTTACAGCCCAACGCTCATTAGACAGAGATTTACCCACTTTTGCTGAGCACTATCTTTAGGGCCAAACTGAGCTTGTCATCTGTAGGAGGGTTTCGGCTTTTTGTGGTGGTGTTTTGGGGTTTTCGCAGCGTAATGACAGACAAGGAAGAGAGAGTCAGACAAAAGGGAGGAGAGGTAAAGAGAACGACAGATATAGAGACACAGAAAGGTTTGTAGACTCATATAATTCTCAATATATTTAATGATTTAACTTAATAATTGCTGTAACTTTTAGCCTCTTAATTTGGTCTGAACTCTGAATAGCCTTTAATTCTAATCGAATATACTTGTCTTGCTTAAAAATAGACACATGTAATGATATTGACTCTAAAACCAGATTAACCCTTAAAAGAAATGTTTAAATCAGAAACTCCTCTGGGTAATTATATTCCCTCAATTCCCAGAAATACAGAGGATATAAGGTCACCAATGATAGTTATGACTCTGCTGGTCATGCTTACAAGAAACCGACGTTGGCGGTTGGCTTACAACATGCTTCTTCTGCCTTTGGTACTAAGAGAGGACAGTCATTTATTGCACAAGAAACAAAAACATTTTTTAGAGTCATTTTTTTAGCGTCTGAACCAAACAACCAATGCTGTCGTGTTTCTGGTGGAAACCCTGAACCTATAAAGTAGCTTCATGAGAGTCAGAAAACTGAGATATAATATTGTGTATTGTATATTTTTTGGTGCTAGACTAAGTCACATAATGTTATTCCAAACATCAGCACTTGGTAATATTCCAGTGCATGGTGAAATAACTACAATACACACTTTATTCATGCAAGAAAAAGCAGGTTGGACATTTCTTAAAGATCTTACAGGTGGACAGTAACACCTAATTGACCCAACAGTAAACGGGGAGTCAGAGAAGTAGACAAACATCCTTATTAAGATTCATTATGTTAAGATCCAGTTCATTATACATACATTATGTAAAATATGTGTCAATTATATGTATTACGCATAATTTTAACTTTTTCACTATTTGTCTGATTGCTTTTTGTTCCATCATTGGTCACTTTTTAATTATTCTTTTTTGGGATGTATTTGAATCCTGTAGGCCTGTTGGTTTCTTATAACCTCACCATCACTTAACTTTGATCATAAATGAAGTGTTTTGTGGTCATATGTCTGCAGAATTGCTTAAAAATCGTATATAAAACACGTCTGATATCTAAAATTGAGTATTTTCTGTCAAACTGTGCCGCTCTGACACTTCAAGGCTTACTATTTGATGCACTATTAGATGCAAACAACTGTTCTGAGATCAAAGAACAAAAACAGAGAGAGTGATTTAGTACCACAGAGACAAAGAGGGAGGTCTCAATAGAGTATAAAGCCTGTTTGTAACCAGAGCAGCGGCTCCATTTAGCAGCGAGTTTCAATATGCTGTTCTGACTGTAATGGATTTTAAATGTGGTGAGGAGGAAGGCAGCGACATGGCAGGGGGATTACCTGAGTGAGTACAAGTGCTGTTTTTAACTTGTTAGAGGGTAGAGGACCCATATTGAGGCCAACACACACACACACTCCCCCACACACATGCTGTCCTAGTTTTCCAAGCCCCTCTTCTATGCCAGAGCATCCATCTCATCTGCAGGTCACCCCTGTTGCCTCCAAGGACAAACAGCCCATTAGCTAAATGAGCCTGGGGTCCCGTGCACCTGTCTGCTGCTCGCACACATTACACAAACACACACACAAAGAAAACCAGATCTACATTGACTATTCTGAATCACAAAGACAGAAAGATATAGGCACATAGTAACACAAGATAAACAAACTGCATCAAAAAGATACACACACAAAGGTAGATCGAGCCACATTCTCTCTCTCTCTCTCTCTCTCTCTCACTCACACACACACACACACACACACACACACACACACACACACAGAGAGATACCATCTTCCTGCAGCTGAACAGTAGCCGGTAGTGAAGAGACAGCAGCCAGACGTTCTCAGCAAGCAACAAAAACAACAGGAAAACTGTTGCCCTGACAAACACAAGGAGGGACAGCAGCAACGCGCAGAGACACACAGATGTGTCATCCGTGCCTTGTTCATACCCTGCAGGTTCACACCAGCAGACAACAGGAGAGCGTCAAACTGGCTCGTTGTATTCATCCACTGACTGCATTAATAGAAAATAGTCAAAGCAGTGGTCAGGTTAGAGCAGATTTGAATTTTCTAAATCAAATCTCAGCTTTCAGGTGGTCAAACCATAAGGTCAGTGCAGTAACTGTAGTGGAGCTTTTGATTATATCACATGATCCTCATCAGCACAGTTAAAGCGGAAGTTCAAAGTTAATTATCCAGCAAGTAAAAAACAAGACAAAATCTTAAAATCTACAATTCCATGAAAACTGGGCTGAGGATGAAAATGTGACTGAAAGCTTCTGAACAGCTACTAAATGGACCTTGTGGTGAGACTGTTTTCTAAACTGCTGTTTTAAAAATAAAAATGTACTTAAACCCTTATACAGTCTTTTTAGACTTCAGAATCATGTAAGTAGCTAGTTAATTTTGGTTTTTAGATATATCTTTGTCTAATTAACACTAGAGGAAGTGGAACTAAACAAACTGACATTTTAAATTCCATTTACTTACATAAATGGATGGTTTATCCTTGTTCTATTTAACTTTCATCACCATCACAGGTGTCCATTTCATAAAAAAAGATAAAAAGATATTGAAAGTAACTGGCATGCTGACCCAGACTGCAGCACCAGTTTGATCAATGCATCAGCGATCAAAGCTCATATGGAAATCATCACACATCTATTATGGAAACTATATCTGTACGAAATCCCAAATGATGCTCTGCTGACCTACTTTTAAAGATTTATTACACTGACTTTCTAATAACATCCTGTCATTCATTGGTCACAGCTCCACTTTGCACTCTGAAATTAAAGTCGATACAAGCTGAATTGAAAGGGTGTATCTGAATTAGGGCTGTACTTTGTAGCTTAGAGAGAACAGACTGCAGTGCAGAGCCTGGAGGAGCTCCGCTGTGAACAGGGCCCCCAACCCTGCTCATATTATTGCCTTACTCCTCATTCAAGTACAAAAAAAGCACCTGCCTATCCATTTTTCACAATACAATACAGTGCTTTTCAAACGGAAGTCCACCTGGGGATTGTTATTTCTGGACCCTGTAATTCCATGAATGGTTATTGCTCTCAGGGGTGCAAACAAAAAAAAAGAAGAGAGAAGATGAGGAATCTCACATAAACGCATGTTCCCTCGTTATCTGATTTATCTCCAGTCCCCGTTGGTGGAAACTGAAGTGGTCGCAGGAGACTCGCCGTTTGGCAGCTACCCAAGTGGACCCACGGGGGAAGAGCAAATACAAATGTAGGACACGGGAGCAAGGTTCCTTCCTTGACGGGCCCTGTTTATGTTAGCCTATCCTGCTGGCATCCTGCCCCAGCTGGGACTCACTGTCCCTCCAATGGAATTCTGGGTCTTTGAGTTCATTTGACTAGCAGAGGTCAGTGTACCAGAGGGTTAACCTCAGGCTGTTTGGACAACCTTGGACAAGACTGTGGACATAGATTAATATTATCTGAAAGGGTATTTTGGGATGCTGGTTACTGTTTGATTAACAATCTAAGAAAAAAGATGCTTTTGTTGTGCGTAATTTAAAGAATAATTCAGATTTTATTTTATTATATTTTACAACTTTGGTCTTATTGTCTCATTTGCTTATCATAACACTGGGATCTGGAAACAGGACAAAATCAAGGATGCAAGAAACGAGCAGTCAGATGATCAGACGGGTTATAAATGAGCCAATTAGCTAGATTATCTAAAAACACTTTATTTGAGATAAAACTGACAGTGAGTGCGCCTAAAAAGTCAGTAATCCCTAATTGCACAGTTATGTTAAAGATCCCCTCCAGACTTGTTTTAAGACAATTGTCACACAGGTTATCATTTGTTATTTTTGATTGGCTGTCAAGCTCGCGAGGGAGGGTTTTAGCCAATATGAGCTGGCCTGAGGGCAGAGGAGAAAGAAATGGAGAGAAGAGATATGGATGCTAGAGAGTGGTGTGCTGCAGATGAATGTACATAGAAACCTTTTATTGAGGCCGTGATGAGAATGAATGATCACCCTCATCCCTGAAGTAGTTTTAGTTTCTGTCTCTTTGTTAACGTAACTGAACTGAAGCCAACATCGAGCTCCACGTACGGCTGTTCGAGTTGACCTCGCGGTCGAGGCTAGCATCCTTTTCCTGAGTTATGATATGTTATGTTGTAGTATAGTTATAAGGGCCAGTGGTAATTCAATTTGACAGTTTTCCTTCATTTTCTCTTCCATGTAGGTTAGGCTAACCTGGATTGTTTGTTTCCAACCTGTATGACCATCTCATCACTCAGTCAGACATCTTTTTACCTTACCTTTACTTGGTGAGTATGATGCCAACACTCAGTGAATAAAAACAGGTTGTATGGCACCAGATTTCCCTTTAAGCCACAGAGGACATGTGTAAAATGTATTCAATTCTGATTATTTTTCATTATGTGTATAGCAAGGTGATCCATGAGATCGATCCAAAGGCTACATAACAAACCTGTGGAAACCTGGCTAAACTACAATTGAATTTAAATCGTCTGTTTTCCATCAGGCGATTTATCACATTCAGCGGAGTGTGTAGAAAACAGCAGGCTCTTTTGGCTTTTAGCTGAAGCTGCTTTCCAATACAAGCAGCTACAACAAGGACGTTACAACGGTTATATCATGAAACAGCAGACCAGTACACACCTGTCTTGAAGACCTCGTAGCGAACAGAGAACCCCGCTCCGTGTGTCTCATAGTCAGAGACGAACTTGATGAGGAGCTGGCTGCCGCTGGAGATGATTGGAGACGGTGCAATCTTCCCGCAAAACTTCCCCAACATGGCTGAAAGCTCGTCCCCGCCATTGTAAACCTCCACGTAGTCGTACCTATAGGAGGAGAGAGGAGATGAAAGGTTTACGCTGCTGCAAATAGGTGCAATACATATCTTTAGATGAATATGAGCGCATGATTGATTTTTACATTAACCTGTCCCAGTGGATTACTGGGCTGCAGTGTTTTATGCCTCTTTGCTTGAATGCACACAGCTTCTGAGCATATGCATGATTAATTATTGTGTCTGAGCTTAATTTATCTGTCTAAAACCTCATTTAGGCTATGCAAAGTTGATTAGTTATTCCGCGATTAGTGGTGATGCAATTTAAAGAGGCCTTCCACTGATTTTACATGAGAAGGACTAATCCCTACAAATGTCCAACAGAAAGCTGGTGTTACAGACTGGAGGCATGGCGAGGCGTTGTTTGTTTAAAGCCCTGATGAAGACCTACAGTGGTCAAAACATGTTGGCTTTTTTAATCATTTAGCAATTACAGTAAAGGCTTTTTAATGTATTCCTTCCTCGTTGCTATTTTTGGTAATGCCTGGATTGCCTTTTTGTTGATCCTGGAGGCACAGAGCGTCTAATGAAAGACACAAACTAGCTGCTTTATGGGAAATGTAGGATCAGACATTTTGGAGCTTGACCCATAGAAAATCGAAGTTAGGATATGATAGCTGCTGCTGCGTTAATATTGACCGTTCTTTTCTTGCAGGTCTCTCAACTTTATGTAAATACAGAGCACAATTTAATTTCCTAACATGAACACGTACTGTGACCGTACTGTTAAATAACTGTTTCTATCTTCTCTTGAATGTAATTCCTGTACACTTTGTGCTAGTGAAGCACACTGTGAAACCACAACAAAGGATGCATATCTGTGTTTCTCAAACATGTTTACTTCTTCCAGTATTTCCTCATTTTGACTGAATTGAGAAGTTTCCCCAAATGCCAATCTGGTCAGCTGATCTGCTTTGGAATGTTTTGTCTTCTTGTCCGTATAGCTGCTGCTGCGGGAACATGCTGTAAATCATGACTCAATTGAATGACGGAAGATTTCCATGTTACAGCAGCAAATTTGAGCCTTTCACAGTGAAGAAAATACAGCAGCTGTAATAGTGTATTATTCAATGAATGTTGGGTGCTCGTCTGTCTTCCTTTGCACGGTGAAATGATCAATGTTTATAGTTGTATGATTTCAACAGACTACAGTATAGTCACAGATAATTTGTGAGTCACCATCACGTAAGGTACATTTAATCTCAAAGAAGATATATAGGAACATGTCAGCATGCACATTCAGAGAAAACCCTATTTTCCCCACAAGTAAGATATATGACCAGATATTTAGCTCCATATATCCACTGGGCTACATCTGAAGTTAAAAAACACCTTGTGTGCATGTTTTTACTGTTCTCACTGACAAGAAAACAGCAGCTCTGTCTCAAGTATGTGTGGGGAAAGAAGAAAAAAAGACATCAGATTTCGGAAAGGATTGGACAGAAGCTGCTGTCTCCAGGAGTGAGAAAGGAACAGGCAGAGAGAGAGAGAGAGAGAGAGAGAGAGAGAGAGAGAGAGAGAGAGAGAGAGAGAGGAGAGAGGGGCAGAAATGCACAAAAAAATATGAACACATGGCAGTGTGAAGCACTGGGAGGCTCTGAGGATCCCACTGAGCGCACTGAGAGACTTCATCAGTCTCCGCTGTCTGCATGGACCTCCCACCACCGCTGCAGCACCTCCTCCTTTACCAGCCCCCCTGTCCACCCACTGTCCGCTTCACAACATCTCAAGTGTGTGTAAGTGGGTACTCTGGAAGTGCACGCTGTTTGTATGTGACCTCTCTAAAAATATTATGTGTGTGTGTGTGTGTGTGTGTGTGTGTGTGTGTGTGCTGTATATATGTTCTGCAAAGTATCCAAATTGATCTAAGGGCGGATATAAGTGGTCAAGTAACTCCAAAGTGTGTGTTCTATCTATCTATGTGAGTGTGTGTGTGCAGACTCTCTCTGTGCTGCACTGTAGCTGATTGAATCACAGAGCCTGTAGAGGATTTACGTCTTATACGTGCGTGAGAAAGCGTGCTGAGATGCAAGGTGAGTCCATGACTAAATTGCTGATTATACAAGGACAAGGCCGGGCCTTGGGAGTATAAAGCCTGATAAACTGTTGTGTTGCAGATTGTCTTTCAGTTCTAAGTTTGACTCTTCCCAAACCATTTTAGCTCGTGACCCTTCAGCCTAGCAATGCCTACTGGTGCAAATCTAGGAGTTGCGAGCAGTGCAAACGTCAAAGTGCACATACAGTTATTTCTAGCAGCTACAGACAGAGTTTCATGATATGAAAGGTTTTTAAAGTATCTGGCCTCAATAGACCAAAATGCAATACACAAAACATTCTGTCCCACCATTTGGTTTTCTGAAGTAGAACACACTTTGTGCTGCTATCACTATCATGCAGTCGAACTACACAAAATAATCCACAGATAAGTGGTTCAACAAAGCTCTCAAGTATCAGCCGACATGGCAGGCAAAGGGATATTTCCATAAACTTCAATAATGGAGATCTGTGTTTTATCTACAGAAAAGAAGAATAAGGTGCAATAAAATGTAGATGTAGCAGAAGTACATTTCAACCTTTTATCACAAAATTATTCCAGCAAGTGAAAATCACATACTGATGATAATTGAGTATATACAGTCATCCCTGACATACTCATACACTTATCTTGTAATGATAATTGCAGTTGCATGCTGATTTCTATAACATCAGTGTTGTCTGGACTTCTCAAATGGAAAAATAATCAACAATCAGACCCACTTCTGCGTAACCTCTACTTATCTACTTTACTTTCCCTGGAAACTTCAGAGTATGTTCAGGATTTTCATACCAGGTCGATCATATCAGAAATGTGAAAAGACTCCGAACAGATAATCTGTGCTGACCATCAGACCTGACCCAGACTCAGATGTACCCTCTGGCCATGAGGATGCGAAAACCCAGGGGGAATCCATTAGATGTAGCCTATACCTCTATACCATAGACATCAAGACTCTGGTACACCTTTGGTGGAACATGTAAATCAAGATTTACTTTGAAAACTTGTTTTATAGTCTTCATGTGTATGGTTTTAAGTGTTTTGTTCGCATTCTTTTACCATGTTTTTCACATCTGACATTCTTCTTGTGTAGACATTTGTCTTTCATTATGTCCATACTGTCTGAAAGCACTTTGCGACTGTTTTGATAAGTGCTGTACAAATAAAGCACATTATGCAGAACTTGTTATATGATATAACAAGCTTCTTCCTCCTGCAGCCAGCTGTGGAAACAACTTTGCCTGGTGAGGATATCTAAAAGCTGAAAAGGGTAAAATAGTACAAACCAGGACCTGAATGCTCACATCAGCTGTGGTGTCCTTGAACAAGACAGATAATCCATACCACCCTTTGGGGTCTCTGTGATGAAGCCGAGCCTGACCTCTGACCTCTCTGACAAGAGAACAGAGAGTTTTTCTAAGGATGCTGGGTAGAATATCAAAATATTCCTCCAGCATGGCGGCTTGCTGATCAGCAGTAAAAGCTCTCAGGTAAGAATGTGTGTCTAATGAGACCCTTCCCTCCAGAAACACCGATTCAAAGGAAGACCTCCTGACCCAGCCAGATAAATAACTGTGCAAGGTTTTAACATTTTTGCATACAGCCGAACCAGAACAGACAAAAACACCTATAGCGTTCCCACATGGTGAAAAACTTCATCAGCAGGTTTGGACCGAAGCTCAGACAGTCAGCTTGTCTCAGACTCGAGGAATTCGGCTGTTGACTGCTGATTTTCCTCATGGCTAACAACATTAGCGTGCAGACAGAAAGCTTGTTAGGTGGTGGTTTTCAAAGAGTCTCTTCATGGGTTTCGACGTGGGAAAGTTGATTTTTCCCTTCAAATCTCTTACAGACATCTTGATTTAAAGGTTTAGGTCTGGATTTGTGAACGATGGACAAATGGAGGACAGGTAGACAGACAATATGGTCTTGAAAAATATATAACAACATAATAATAAACATATATTTCTAAAGATAATTTCTGTATTTTTCTTTCATTATAATGAAAAGAAATGTCGCAATAAAGAAAGGGCCCATGCAATATAGGTCCCCGGCCTGAATCGAACCAGGGACAATACTGCTATATGATATTCGTCTTAGACCACTGAAGACAGCGAGACATCCCTCAATGGGCATCATTTTAAACATTAGAAGAGGTTTTACTTTTTAATATTCACCTGAAACAAGCAAAAAGATGTTTCCCTCAACAAGAGACCTGATCAATCAATAGAATCATCTAGCACAATCATACAGGAGAAGTTGCAGGTAGCAAACTGACAACAATTAACACTGCATAAAAAAATCAATACAAATTCATAATTCAACACCACCAGCAGCAAAAGCAGCAGCAGCAGAGCTCTGACTCTCTCGATACATCCTGGTGTAACATACTGCCAGTCATTTGCTTAATGAACATCAACTTGCATATGACTGCTGCAGCTACATCCTCTGAAAACCTGAATATCGAATTTGATTAATAAACAACGGTAACATTTCTACACTGTCAAACATACAGTAATTCTCAGTTTTATACACATAATGTATCAGCCGTGCTGACAGCTAAGGGCATAAACAATGGTTTTCATGTTTAAATCGAGGAATTTGAGCCGGAGGTGTACAAAATCTGTTCTTTCTCCGACTTTATGTTTCTCTCTGTCTCTCAGTATTATTCTCCATGTGTTCACAGAGAGCTTTACACGCCCGGTGAGGAATGGACTTAAGTGTTCACTTGTAAAGTCTTAGTGCCGACGGTGATGTTTAGGTGATGGCGTTTTTATTCATAGCATCAAACTTGCACCTCGCTCCCCCTCCTCTCCCATCGCTGTCTTACGGAGACTCATCAAATAAAAGCCATAGGGAGAGAGAGAGAGAGAGAGAGAGGGATGGAGGGAAAGTGTGTGTTTGGATGAATGTGTGTCTGTCTGCATGCAGATGGCTACACTCACTCACTCAGTCAC